GCAAATTCCTTAGAGGGCTACTCTGGAGCCGACATAAGGAAGGTCTGCGCTGAGGCCTCAATGACACCTGTTCGGGAATGGAGTGGTTTCCTCGACACAGTTGAACTCTCCGAGGTAAAAGTTTGACTACTCTTTTAGGCCATGTATGTTGGTGCTAAAGTATTTACACAATAAGATTGAAACAATTACATTGTTTGCAGATCAGAGCAATTGAGCTGCATGATTTGATGGAAGCTGCCGAGCGTGTCAAACCTTCAGTATCTTTGAAAGATTTGTCCCATTACGAAGATTTTCACAAGCTGTATGGGGACAAACCTTAGCATGCTTTAAGATATACTTACAACTTCTATTTGTTTTTGTATTTGTTTTACATGCCAATGCGGGTGTTTTTAATATTTTCAGTGTTTTTCTATATCTTTCTTTAAACGTTTTTACATTAGACAAGTATTAAGTTTCTTGTGTACGCCTGTGTTAATGATTGAGTTTCTTTTACATTCCAATTGGGGTGTTACCCCCTTTATTTATATTGTTACTGTTTTTCTGTATCTTTCCTTGACAAGGAGAACAAGTATTAAGCTAATAGTGTTCCTTCTTTTTGTATGTTGTTTTTTAATGTAGAAAGAAATTGGATAGCTTCATTCTAATTTGACATACTGTATGTTGCAAAAAGAAGCTCATATGTCCTAAATGTGAACTTGCCTACCAGCACTTTTCTTAACACCTGATCTATTTTTTTTAGTAAAGAAGGTTGATTAAAAATGCAGATATGAATAAAGAGTGGCGTACTTTATTTGTAAGATACAATACTATATCACATATCACTTTCCTGAGGTAACTAAATGCTGAAATTACAATACAATCATGCATCTCATTACGTAAACCAAGTATTGTCGACTGAGAGCATAAAATGGTTGCGCAGAGAGCATGAAACATACAAGATTACTACATTACTTTCATAACATATTCAACTTAACAGTACACTTGGTTCTGAACCATTGAGATTGAAAACTTTACAGAATATTATGGTAGTTGACAAAGGCTTGAAATATCACACATCTTAGACTTACAAGAATAATAAAACAGTCATGCTCACACAAATATTCCAACATGACAAAAATATATCACAAGACAAAAAATTCAACCCAAGTTATTTTGTGCAACCCGCAGAAAACGTCCAAGGCAAATGCTCATTTCACACCATGTTAATTTCAACAATGTCTATGGCACAATACTCAAGATATACTTGGCAGCTTAATGAACCATCCCCTTAGGTATCCATGGAAGAATGAAAATCAACACAAAAATATGGAACACTTCAAATTTACAAAGAAGATATTGAAACAGGTGCCATGGGTGATTATTAAGAACTTGAAATTTTCTTATTACACTAGTCAATGAAATTTTATGCTGGTAAACAATTACACAAGTGCAAAAGGTTTAAACTTGGGGGGGAGGGCGTGGGCAGTGGCGTCTGTAAGGATTCTCTAATGTTCTGGATGCATTTCTAAGGAAATTACTCATAGTTATCTGGTTCCTATCTAGTAATCTAGTTAAATTGCATATCCTGGCATCATTAACAAGAGCACTGACTTTTCGTCCTCTTGTGGTGTTCTCACCCCTGTTAATGTCAAAATAATCTTGAGCTGCCTGTTCTTCCAAAGTAAGCAGACCATCTGAAAAGATCAAGTGGCAAGGAGACAGGTAACGTGCAACTTTGCATACTGTGGATAATATAATACTTACTGATGAAATTGAACACATTTGGTCGTCTCACATTCATTGCCAATTGCAGAGAATTGTTCCAACTCTCGGCAACATTGTTTGTACGGTTTTCGGATCCGTATACAGAGAGCACATGAGTCCTCTTTGCAATATACTCTTCATAAACATACTTGAAGAAAGGATCAAGGACACGATAAAAATTTTCCTCACTAGCTCTAGTCATAACAGCTGCTAATGCTTCTGGAATTCTGGGGGTGGGCACAAGAGGAATGGCAAGGCAGCTCCTTACCAAAGAATCAATTGTTTCATTAGCAGCAATAAAGCGTGCTAAACCAAGCTTGTTTGCTTGAGCACTAAGATTCTGTTAAACAACAATCTTGAGTAAATATTAAAAGGCAAAACTAAAGCACATTAACAATGCACTCAAGAAGCAAATGGAAAATTTACTTACATTACTGTAGTGATACAAACATCCTTCAACAATTGCATCTACAAATATTTTTTTGAAACTGTTGTACTCAGCAAATTCAAAATCAGTGTGAATTTTATCTGGTTTGAAACCAGGGTTCAATTCTTTTATTGCTTGCAGAAGAATGGTATATGTGTGTTCTGATTTGCTCTCCATTAAACAAACACACAAGGGAAGAATCTGCAAAAGAAGTGTTTACAAAATTAACAACAAAAAAGTGTTTACAAAATTAAAAATTAAAAAAAGATGACACACTGAAGATGATCAAAGAGAAAAGTACGCAGCATTAATTTTCTAAAAAAATTCTTTGACAAGTTTTTTAAAAACTTTTATCACAACTTTCTGTATGATGGCTTTGTCTGCTTGATGTGAATTAATTAATTATAAAGTATAAGGCACAGGAACATCATACCTTTCACATAAGTATGTCAACTGACCTGATTATTTAATAATGTAGTCATGGAGAAGACTTGGCTACTATTAGGACAGGATGGCCTCCCATCCCATGTAGCATCAGCAAAAACCTCTTTAGCAGAGGTACACATAATTTCTTTCATAGTTGGAGATTGAAAGATAAGACACCTGGAACGCATCCTGGCTGAGCCACAACTTCCAGCATACAAATAACCATCTCCAGACTTGGTCATGGTGAGATGCTTAAATTGCTCACTCCGAAGTACCTCATCCAGTTGAGAAAGGGTATGGGGTAGACGAGGTACCACTCTCATCCTTGCTCTTCTAATGGCTGACCTCAATATTTTGGCTGAGCATTGAAGTCTGATGTCTCTTGAGTAACTAAATGATATGAAAATGCCCCATAATAAATATATATGTACACTGCACGCAACAACTCAACTCATTGTCATGTACATTGACAAAAATACTCACCACTCACTCTCTTGAGAAACAATAGTTTTAGGACGAGTAGTATCTCGAGAGGAGCACCTGGCTATAATTGCTTGTCTCAGCTTCCGTACTTTACAGAAATTATAATTAGGCATACATGTGTGGTCAGTACTGATAGTCAAGGACTTCCAGTCTTTTGATGCCACAGCTCTACCAGGACAACGAAGTCTTTTCCAATTGATACACCTCAGAGAAGCTGATTCGTTTACTAATGTCCTATTCTTGTAGTAGTAAAAACCATCTCCCTTATAATAAAATCTGGACTTCTTCCGAAATCCATCACCAATAAATACAGGAGACATATCAGCCAGCTTTCTATCGCACTCTCTGAAACACACAGAAAAAATTAATTAGTGACAGTAGGGCTCTGCAGCAAAATAATTTGACCAACATTCTGAAGATCTTTTTCGGTGATAGTAATTTCTATGGCGGAAGTTCTGAACCTTCATCGACCTGCAAAATGCAACACTAACAGATTTCAAGAAATCAATAAATTGATGTGCCGATCGATGAACCTTTGCACTGAAATTGTGATATAATACAGCATGGCTCACTGAGCAATTGGTGCCAAACAGAAAAGATATTAAAGCAAAAGAATATTGTAGCTCAAAGCGAGGTGAGTCTGAAAAGAGATTTCCCTTGGCATTACTACCCATCACTTAACAGTTTCAGACAGATTACAGTTGCTTGAATTTACATAAAGCAGACGTGCCATAAATAACACCCTTATAATTCTTATTATAACAAAAGAGGCGACTCTCAGTTCTTCACCAGTTGAAGCCCTTACTACAATAGGATGTTTTAAGAGCCTGGCACCAAGTATGCGGCATTTCACCTGATTTTAAAAAAGAGTCTACATCAGACAAAACTTTGAGAATACTACTAATGCTTACAGACACTTCCAAATAGATGGCAAAACACTACACTGAGAATTTTCTGTGGCCCATCCATCTTGCACATCAAAGTGCGTACTTGAAAATAAGGTGCTCTGCAGATCCCACAGTAAGGGAGCGCTTTCCCTTTCCATGCATTGCAAGACAACCTGCAAAGAGTTATCAAAGATATTATCTTTTCATGGCTACAGTCTCCATCAATCAGGTATGAAAGGTACAGTGTGAAGATAATACTTACAGTGCAGGCAACTTGACTGGGCCTTTGCTCAATCCATCAACAGATTTCCTTCGTCAATGACATAATCGACTGCGCATCCCTCTCCTGCAAACAGCAAACAGACATAAACACTTCTGAGCAAAATAAGGGGCGACAATGAAATGAGACATACGCAGCAACACTTACATAACGATATCACATTTCAGCTTGGTGAACAGCTTGCATTCCTGGCTCAGCTGCCACGGGAATCCGAGAAGACTATTAAGTGTCGATAGGATAACTTGAAGTCCTGGACAGGGACTCGGAACAACCTACCGTAAAACAACAGCAGATTAGCCAAAGCATGTTACATGACAGAAATGCAGTGCCCAGACGGACGCAGCACTTGCGGGCGGAGAGAAAAATGTGCGAAAAATCGCACGCAAAAAGCGAGGCATAGTCAACAGGTCGAGAAAGTTGCGTGCAACGAATATTCAATGTGTTCAGCACTACTACCGGGAGGTTATGTACACAGCGGTGCACAGCATAAAATAGCAACAAGAAACATGATCGTGCGAAACATTGACCACGTTCACAGAGACTTACGCACCCCTCGCACCCACGCCGCGTTGACACCGCTGACACAAACCGCAAACAGATTCTCAAAGTATTGGAAATCGATTGATTCTCAGATAAGTTTGTGTTGTTGACGTTCCGGGATCGGCATTGTACGACGCACCGCACTTGCTTCAGAGGTGAGGCGAGCAGAGGAGGTCGGGAGCGAGGCTAGGCGCCGCGTATGAGAAACTCGGCTTGGAGCGCGAGTTCCAAACGCAAAGACGCACAGCACGTTGAGGTGAGGCCCGAGGCCGAGGCCACGGAACAGCATTGCACTTGACGGAGGAATAAAGTAACGCGGATAAAGATCGGGCAGGAGCAGGACACACTACGACATTACGCAGGCGTTACACCGTTACACACCTGTGACGAACCTGGACGGACGTCGGTAGATCAGTCAGTTACCGTCGGGCGCCTGCCGAGGAGGCGGGTAGGCAACCCACTCGGCTCGGCGCCGGCAGGGGTTGCCTACTCACCAAGTGATCCCGTCGAAGGCCACCCGGATGCGGCAGGATGATCACCCCACACGGGGCTCAAGGAAGCACAGCGCTTAACCACTTTCGTCCTTAATGGGGGCGCACCGATGCACTGAACTTCTTACAACACGGTGGAGGAAAAGCATGCATCGCTCCACCGTGTCAAACACGTAGAAGGGCAGAGACGGGAGCTGTGGCGTAAGGCGGTTGGTTGGCTGTCCCCAGGGGAAGGACCTTGCACCCCCCCCCCTCCCCCCCCAAGTCATGCGGAAGGACAGCAAGAAGGATACTGTGTGTGTAGTTGGGCGGAAAGGGCGAATGGCAGGTGTGGTCGTGGGGTGTACCTACGGGTAGGCCCCTGCACCTCCCACCCCCGCCCCCCTGTCTTACAGAAGAAGAGCAAGGATACTGTGCAGCAGGGCGGAAAGGGTGGGTGTGGTCGTGGGGTGTACCGGTAGGCCCATGCATCCACCCCCGCCTGTCTTACGGAAAGACAGCAGCACGCATACTGGATCCTTGGCTGTTTAAGGGGAGGCCGAGAAGGCACACATGCATCCCCCTAGCGCCTCAGGGCGCCCGAAGCATAGGCAACCTATTGTGCACACCCATATTTTTATGAATATTTTTATTGGCGCTTCATATTTATATTACCGTGTCTATTTAT